AGGAATTGAGTTTCAAGAGCGAGGAATTGCTCATTAAGGGCCGAGAAGTGCTTGCGGACATCTAGGAAACCATTTCTCGTCTGTTTCATAAAAGTCCGCATCTCTGACTCAATTTCTCTACAACCGATGCAAGACCATGTCAGGCCAATTTTCTTGTTGATAAGGTCACTTATCCGTCCATTGTGTCCTCCTCCAGCACATTTAATATGTGAGCAGTTATTGCAGAGCCAACAAGACAGGTATGAGTCACCCGTGATGGTTCCACCAAATTCACATTTTTTTGCTGTGCAAGTAAGACTCATTTTTGGCTTCTTTTTGACGGAATGCAGACCACTGTAATAGCGTGTAAAGAATTTAGGCTCTCTGAAGCACTCTGTAGCCGAGAGTGGACGATCAGATCGGATGTAAGAGATGACGTTACAAAAGAGATGTGCAACGAAGGTTCGGCGTGGTGAAGAACAACAAACTCCACAGTAACTATGAATGTAACGGGTTACGTCCGGATAGTACAGCTCTTATGTACTTTTGTTGGAGAATATAGTTAAAGCGCAACAGAGATAACTTTAACCGATTAAATGTATAAATTGGAAATAAATAGTTCAATGAACTTATTAAGTCAAATTTATTTGAGTTTTATTTGAAAGCTTGAGTTCAAGATCGAAAATAATTGCAAACTGGCAAGAGCGATCGAAGAAACACGTCCGGGTACGGCAAGTGAATATACAGAAATAGGAATTCTGTATATTCTGTTAGAATTTCAGAACTAACTTATCTTTGGGGCTCTAAGTCCTTTTTTATAGCTACCCTTTCTAAAGCTTTTTGCCGATCTAAGCTCAAAAGAAGCTTTTCTCACTGAGAGGCTTTGTTTTCTGAAGAGAATAGATTGAGTCGGAACCTTTTACTTGAGGTGTCAGTTGACATGGAAGGCTTTGGGTCTCAATTAATCGAGGTGACAAGAAAATGTGAAATTTCCTGTGAAGTGGGTTCCCATTTAAAAATGGTTTGAGTTGTTTAGTTTTAATTCACTTAAAAGGAGTGAGAAAGATTTGAGTCGGGATTTCTGTTTACCCGAATATTGTTTTGGTTTTGTGTATAAAGTGACTCTTAGAAATTGGAAATCTGAAATGAGGCTGTTTTTAGCCGTTATGTTTAGTTATTAAACATAACATAACTTCCTGTATCTATTACACATTTAAATGGGCGATTGTTAATAGTTATTCTGATGTAAGGATTTCTATTTCTTCTATTGGATCCGAGGCTATTTGATGAAAATTTTCGATTTCCATTTTAGATTGATCGCTTGAATATTCACGCTGTCTTTTCACTGGATTTTTATAATTAGTACCTTGTAAAGAAGTTGTTGGCTGTTGATAATTCACAGGGTTCTGAGCTCTACCTTGATTTAGGTTTTGCAGCAATTCCTGTCGAAATTGTTGTTGATTGACATTATTTGGTTGTCTATAGTTACTTGGCTGATTATAAGTTTGTTGATTATTATTATTATAAAAGGAATTATTTCTTTGGAAATTATTATTTTTTTGATAATTTCTCGTATCTTGTCCGTTTTGATTTGAATTATGTTGTGATTTAACTTTATCAGAACCAGAATCATAACAACCTCCTTGTTGTGCTACTTGTTTAAGTTTACTGATTGTAGTTATATCGTGCCTTGCTAAAGTCATGAATAACCTGTCAGAAAGTTTTCTCATTATTACATCTTTTACAGTATTATTCATGGCATTATTATAAATCATTGTATTTAAATTATGGTTTTCTAACGACAATTTGTTTGTTATGACAAATATTTTATATTCTAGATCCTCGACGAACTTACGAATGCTTCCATTGAAGGGGGTATTCTAGAGTCGTCTAAGTAATTCCTCGCATGGGGTTTGGGTTTTGTACTCATCGATGAGAGCAATCCTTAGATCGGGCCAATTGGTTGCTGCTGATAGCTGGGACACTCAATTGCAGTGAAGAATACAGCTGTTTGAATTCAGGATACAAATTTAAAATGTATTCGATCCGTCTGATGAATGCACTTAATTCCCTGGTGCTTCCATTAAAATTGGGAACTGGCTTAAAGCCTGATTAAGGTGTAGCTCGGAGAGTAACTGGATTTGTGCCACATTGTAATGTTTGTATTTCTTATTTATTTCGGTAGCGGTCACACTATGAAAGCGGGCTACTAATTTATTTTAAGTTTTTGTGTTTTGTATATTTTCGGTAGCAGTCACACTTCGAAAAGTGGGCTACAAATTGAAATTAACACGTAAGTTCTTTTGCGGATGTGAATAGCAATTAACACTCGCGGTTAGTATTATAGCTGAAGTTGCATTAGCATAAAATATTTCAACGATGTTCTATGATCTTGATTGATAACTGGTCACTTTTACACATCCTACCGACTGCGCCAATTAAATATCTTCTACAAAATAGTTTGAAAAAATATATTTTTATTTAAGTTCCGGTTTTGATACAGTGTGATTCTTTAAAACTGCTTCGAATTTTATAACAACTGCTTAGAATGCTAGAATTTCAGAACTACTTATCTTTGGTGCTCTAAGTCCTTTTTATAGCTACCCTTTGCAGGCTTTTTTCAGCCGAATTGGAATAATTAAATGTTTATGTTTTTACAGAAATTGGAATGAGGCTATTTGCAGCTGGGTTACGAACTTCAATACAAAAGGCTTCAGCTTCGGCTTACAAAATTTACTGATATACACTTAAAGAAATTTTGTTGATATGTTACTATATATATATATATATTTTTTTTTTTTTTTTTCGCGGTCTTTCAGAATTTGGAAATGGCTTGGGCCTGTTATATATCTTCTTCAAAATAGTTTGAAAAATATATTTTTATTTGAGTTCCGGTTTTGATACAGTGTGATTCTTTCAAATTGCTTAGAATTTCAGAACAACTGCTTAGAATGTTAGAATTTTAGAACTAACTTATTTTTAGCGCTCTAGGTCCTTTTTATAGCTACCCTTGCTGAAGCTTTTTGCCGATCTAAGCTCGAAAGAAGCTTTTCTTTCTGAAAGGCTTTGTTTTCTGAAGAGAATAGATTGAGTCGGAACCTTTTACTTGAGGTGTCAGTTGACATGGAAGGCTTTTGGGTCTCAATTAATCGAGGTGACAAGAAAATGTGAAGTGGGTTCCCATTTAAGAATGTTTTGATCTGTTTAGTTTTAATTCACTTAAAAGGAGTGAGAAAGATTTGAGCCGGGATTTCTGTTTACCCAAATATTGTTTTGGTTTTCAATCTGAAGTGACTCTTGGAAATTGGAAATCTGAAATGAGGCTGTTTTCAGCCGAATCGGAATAAATAAATTCTTATGTTTTTACAAAAATTGGAATGAGGCTATTTGCAGCCGCGTTACGAATTTCAATACAAAAGGCTTCAGCTTCGGTTTACAACATTTACTGATATACACTTAAAGAAATTTTGTTGATATGTTACTATATATATATATATATATTTTTTTTTTTTTTCGAGAATTCAGAGACGCCGCCAAAAAGCTCTAACGCGTTATATTCAGACAAGGATCCATTTCTGGACGGTTCCTCTACGAGCCCGGGGCATCAGAGTCGAGTATGGCCATTCCCGAACACGGCAGTTAGACTTGCAAGGAAATGAAGAAAGGATAAGTCTGGCGTACGCCTTACCGACTCCTAGAATCGCAACTCGGGAACTCATGCCCAAGTCAAAGACCGAGTGAGAGCACCCCGGTCACCAGCCCCGCCACTTCAAACTCCGAGCTCGCTAGCGCGTATGCGCGTATGCTCGGTGGATTCCTGCAATAGAGGAGGTGCAAGGTCGCGGACAACTCCCAATCCCGGCCCGTTGGCGAGTATGCACGGTGGTTCCCTGCAGTAGAAACAACCCACAGAGGACGCCAACGACGGAGCCGGAAGAACCAGGAGGAGCGACGATAATACGGAGCGGGATTGAAAGAAAACATTTGTATTTGGAAGAAATCTCGAAATAAAAAGTGTGGAAATCTCTATCTGCTTGTATTATTTTTTGGGCTTGGGCAATCACGTCGAATCTATAAATTCGGTGGAACGGATCCCCAAAACTCTGTTAGCTAGCCGGGGTAAATTGTGGCGAGCGGAAGCAGAAAATTCAGTTCGTTACAAAGTATAAGACGTGCAATGAATAGAAGGGTGTATGCAAAGTTTTTGGTCGTTAGCTTAAAAATGTTAGTGTTTTACGTTTATAGTGTGTGTGTTCTGCGCAAAACACTGTGATACTATGCTCGGTCAGAGAAATTTCCTATGCCCCTGGAATAAAGCCCTGCCGATTACTGTTTTAAAATTGAGAGACTAGTTAGCGTAGAAACAGACAGACAGCCAAAAAGATTGACGGACGGACACACGGGCATGCTTATATCAACTCAGGAGATGATCCTCAGTATTTGATTTGTAGGTAAGGGTTGGGCATTGGAATGTTTTTTGGGCAACAAACCATTTTTCAGAAATTTATTTTAACAGGCTCTGGCTAAAAACAATACTTCCGTTTTGCTCCATTACAAAATTTTTGGGGTGGGAGTGTGGGTGTCACAATTATTACAAAAATTAGACCTGCGCGAATACCATACAAGTCTAAGTTCCAAATCAGATACTTATATTTCTAAAAGTCTTCGAGATATACGCCTTCAAAATTTTAACCCGTAAGTATGTGAGTTGGAGTATGTGAATGGCCTTCAAAACTCTGACAATTTAACTGAATGTTGTTTTTTAGCTATAAATTTAGTTTGGCATCAAAGGATTTAAAAATACCTTCCTATACTAGGGCTACAGTAGAGTGCGATTTTGTGGGAGAGACTTTGCAAAAATTTAAAATAAACTTGACCTGCGCTTGATGATGCAGTTGAGGCTGATTAAGAATATACATATATACATTATGGGGTAGGAGATGATTCCAGCTTTATGTTACACATACACTCAAACTAATGCAATATACCCTTGATATAAAAATATATAATATCTTACTTACCGAGAAGCTAGAATAGTATTTGCTTGTGTATCCATTATCACATGGCAAAAGTAGTATGAACGAAATATTCGATGTTGAAAAATTACAAATGAAAATATAATAGTATGCCATACTAGTGTATTATTAAATATCATATTGTTTGGTCCATAGAGACATTCATGATGGGGTTTAAGCTCATTGTTTTCAGTTATTTTTGTAACATCACTTTTTTCTTGATGCATGATACTAAAAATTGCATCCAATACTGGCTGCTTCTTCACGATAATAGAGTCTTCCAAGACAACTATTGCGGCCTTAATTATAATATTTAAAATATTAAACGAAATAAGAAAATTCCAACGACACATTATATAATGAATATTTTGTAAGTAGACTTCAGACCCTTGAAGCAAAAAAACTAACGCAAATATAATGTAGCCCAAAGAAAGAATATCCATGCTGCAAACTCCACCCATGAAGACTATACCGAGAGTTATCCAAAAAAAACTGCAAAATATTGCAGTTTTAAAAATATCAGCATAATTACGAACATAGGAGCAAAAATCATGTGTAGGATTTTCAAAATAAACGTGTCCAAGCTTTGCAATATTATATACTACGTTAAAGTTATCTCCTCCAGGGTAATTTATATCATCAATATGACGAGTCTCCGCCTTAAAAGATTTCCTTTGCCGCGAAATAAGTAAAAGAATAATAAAATCCAGCATTAGTTTGGATTTATAAAAGAATTTCGTAGAATTATTAAGCATAATCCAAATAGATTGGTTGCCATATATGTATGACAATTCTTTTTTTGACGCTGTTATTTAGCATTTTGTTGATCTTAATTTTTATTTACTATTTACTATTTCTTCATACTTACCAACGCATAGATTAGGTGGAAAATTCAGAAGATATAAGTATTGCACAAAAATAGATAAGACGAAGTAAAGTTGAAAAATTTCCCAGATTCGTGCGCATTGCTCTCGTTTAAGGCACAGTAGTAAAATAAGCCAAATTACATAAGTCAATGCCAAAAGATCGCGCCTATGAGCGATCGTGGAAACAAGCCCTATTAGTGTAATTTCAAGACCAAATTTGTAAAATCCATAATTAAGCAAGTATTTTAATAGGCCTGGAAAATCACGTTCAGCATCTAGTCTTGTAATATAAGGAAACAATACTTTCCGATCCTTTTTATCATATATTGAATAATGTATCAAATAGTCCCTCAGCTTAACGACCGCATGCAATGATGTTACAATCATATAAACTATGTATGGCGATATATAGCGCAAATGGATTCCGAAATTTTGTCTAGTTTTTTGTAAGCCCATCCATTCCGCAAAATTTACGGTATTGTTTTTCTAAAAAATAATTAATTAATAATTTATATGTTATTTTAATCATACTTTATTACGCATTTGTAATCGTATATATGTTCATCCAAATATTTGATTTGATAAATCATTTTCATTAATACTAAAACAGAAACCCAAAAAGTAACTGTTCTAAAAACAATACGTCTTAAAAATCGGTTCACACATACGCTCATAAGTGATAAAAGAACTAAAATTATATTAAAAAAACATACTTCCGATATTGCACAAAAAAAAGATGCCAGTATAACACCTTTAATCATATGCATTTCTAAAAATCCCCAAGCAATTATTTTTCCTGGTCTGAACAATTTGCGACCTCTTGAACGAATTTTTCGATACCCTGCAGAAAAAAAAACTTTCCACGATTGCTTATGCGAGTCAAAAGAGGAACGCTGAGGACCATTTCCAAAAGTAAAAGCAACCTGTGAGTCCATATTTTTCCCTTCCGAAGGTTTTGGGCGCCGTACAGAATCCATAAAACGACGATGAAAGTAATGAAGTTGGACAACAGTAAATATAACTGTCAAAGTTGGTATTAAAAGATGGAAAAACAGATCCTTTGTTTTAAACCGACGCAAGCCAATATCTGTTTGTCTAAAACAATAAAATCGAAAAAGAGAAGATTAATTACTATTCAAAGAAATTTTATAAGTAAGAAATTAAATAATTTCATTATTCATATACTCATTCAATTGCAATAATATCACATACATTAGGGAAAATGTAATATCCCGAAAGAAGTTTGAAACCAAAGGTTAAAACAAAAAAAGAATGGACGGCTAGGTCGAGTTTTCCGACTATTTTACACCACAATTTAACTTACCCACAATCTAAAGTTTACACTTCAACGGTTTGGATTCTAAGTAACAAATTTTTTTGTATACTGTTGCGCTTGGGCAAAAAACAAACCATACTACCGATTCAGTAGGAAAGCAGAGAAAAAAGTCATCTAAAAATTATCCGATTTCGCTGCTTTGTGATTTAGGTGTAGATTAGCCATTGAAAGAGTTTGGCATTATAAAATTGTCCAAAAAAAATTAACGAGCTGGTGCAAAAATCAGATGTTGGGTTCGGGGGCGGGAGTCTGCATGGCGCACTTGACACGAACTTGATTTGAACTGATATCATACGATCGAAAGTTCCAAATCTGATTCTATATCTTATAGTCTTTGAAGTCCAAGCGTTCAAAATTTTAGCCCGTTTGTATGGGAAAAAGTATATACATTGTTTGTTTATTGTTTATCTCCTCGAAAAATCGATTTGGATGAAATTTTTTACACATTAACTAACTAAATAGTTTGGCATCAAAAGTTTTTTTCTTCCTATACTTTCGCCACAAAATGTCGTGATTTTTAAGGGCGTGTGGGGGCTTAAACAAATTTCTAAAAACAAAAAAACTGCGTGGGCATTGTAGGAGTCCCCATGCGAAATACTTAAGTTCTATCTCTTATAGTCTTTGAGATCCAAGCATTCATACTGACAGACGGACATGGCGATATTGACTTGGCTGTTGATGCTGATCAAGAATATATATACATACTTTATGGGGTCGGGGACGATTCCTTCTTTAAGTTAAATACATTTACATGATTACATTTATTCTACGAGAACTGCGTATAAAAATGCATCAAATTCAAAGAGAATGAGCGGAGAGAGAGGGAATTTTACGTTGTTTTTTTAAGATCATTATTAGAGATTCTTGTCCGCCTACCGTGAGAGACTAAGAAAGTCATACTTTTATTTTGAAGCCCAAAGTAAGGACTTAAAAATAAAAATAATTTTTTAACGACTTTGAATATTGCCTGCCTAAAAATAATAATATGTGAATAAGTAACAATAAATATTAAAATAATTGTGTTATTGGTTATATTTGTTTTAATGTTTTTATAGACTTTATATGTTGGGTAAGGTTGAGGCCAGTCACTGACACCCTCATTCACCCTCAGTCACCCCCCTCCTATCCAATAATGTGCTCAAAGGAGTACTATCCTTCCTGCGGCGACTCGCGGTCCCATCTAGATGAAGGCAACAAGTCTGCGTGGAGCGATCCCCGCGAGGTCAGTTAGTTTGGTGAGTGCTGGTGCACCCAATAGCACCCTGTGCCCCAGCGCAGGGCAATGACAGAGGAGCTGTTCGACTGTCTCTTCCTACATCGTCGCAGCTCCTACAGTAATCATAGTGTAGCACCGCTAGTCTAGCCGCGTGCGTTCCTATTAACCAGTGTCCCGTGATGGCCTTGACCACCAGATTGCAGTCCTGCCTATTGAGGGTGATAAGCATCATTGATCTTTTCCTAAAGTGGATAGGCCATATCATGTGAGAATTCTTGAAGTTTTGGAGATTCCTCCATTCCCTCAGTGCTACCAGGTCGAAGGGATCCCTGCTTTTTAGCCCACACGTGGCTAAGGGAATGCCTACTGTCATGGAGTTGCTTTAGAATCCGTCAAGGTCTTTGTGTGCCGCTTGAATGTCTGAGAAGATAAAAATAGGGTCTTGATTGCCGGTAAGTGCTGGGGATCTAAGTGCTTCTCCGATAGCTATTACTTCTGCTTGGAAAACACTACAGTGGTCAGGGAGTCTGAGGGACTCATTTTAGGCACAGCCGTTCGCAGTGGAAACCGCCTCCCACCTGGCCATTTAATTTTAAACCGTCTGTGTATATCCCGGGTGGTCCCGAGATTTGTGTGGCCCATTCCTCCCTCGTTGGAATGGATACCTTATATTTTAAAGTGGGAAGATCAACAGGTATACAGTAGTCAGTAGCCCCCGTAGGCGTGAAGTGGGCCAACTCGGTGTGTCCATAGTTGGTCTTTTTCCATAGACCCGCCTCGCGTATCCTAATTGCCTATAGCGTGGCCATCTCTACGGGTAACAGGTCTAGGGGCGTCTGTTGGTGTGATACGTAGGGCGTCTGTTGGCTGCTTGTAATGCAGATGGTGGAGGCCTGCATTACAGGCAGCCTACGTATCCGCCATCTTTTGCGTTTTCCTTAATCTCTCTCTACATATGGAGATTGTTACAAAAGGCCACCATGCCACTACTCCGTAGAATAGGATGGGGCTTATGACCGCTCTACACAACTATCTTACTATTTTTGGATGCGTTAAGCTATCGTGACGTCCTGAAAAGACCTTGAGCGAGGATCATTATCCCATATTCTATTATGGAGCCAAAGAAGATGCTTACTATTCTACAGCGATGAAACTTGAACCTTCCTTTCAAAAGTAGAATACATGGAAGGGTCAAACAAAGGCCTTAGCATTTAGGCCTTAGTCCTTGGGAAATAAATTTCTACTGGGAGTTAAATTTCGGGCTTAGCTCGGTTACCGTAAAGCTATACAAATCCGACCACAGCAAAGAAGATAAGATAGCCCACATTCAGGAGAAACTTGCCTCAGAGATTGGAGAGCCAAATTCATGTGGTTGTGGCGAACCTTAGCAATGTCTCTACAAATTCCTCAAATAAGCCTCCACCATCGTAAAGGAGCCTCAGATGAGCTTTTGCTTCATCAGGCTGAAGACGTAACCGGGTCTGAAAACCATCGCTGGTAGGAGCAAGAGTATCTGGGCTAGCTACCAAGCTACTAGCTGCAAGCTCAGAACGTAAATTAGAGGCTGCATTTCTTGGTGGAGTAACACTAGGGGACAGCGTAATGTTGACATGGACTAGCAAGTTCGTAACCCCTAGATGAGCTAATTAATGCTATCAGACTAGTGTTTCCATTTTAGTTTATTTCAGGCTAGATCTAGCCTTTTTGAAAATTATATAGCTTATAAAATGTAAATAGCTTTTAGCCTGAAATGTAGCTTATTTTAAAATTAATTGGGATACGCTTTTGAGCAAAAAATAAAGGGTATACATTTTCAACATGCACTTGAAATCCGAAAGACGTGCATTGAATTTATAAAACACTACATATTGGAGCGACGTCAAAGGTATATTTAAGGTGCATTTAATTTGTTTAGTACAATTTATATATTTATAATATTTTGATTTTCTATTTTAGACTTCCTGATAATTTTGAGCTGAAATTGAGGTCGTTTTTAGCCAGATGAATCTTGTCAAAAAAAAAATGTCGGAACAGACTCCAGCTAAAATCGTTAAACGCTATTTTGAGCATTAGGTTTGTTTTTAAGTTTATAATCAGTTATTTCTTAATTATAGTACATACTTTTAATTTTGCAGATATGGATTGCGCAGGCACGGAGAGTGTTGTTATTCATACAACGAAAAATATGTGCGGCAAATTAAAAAAAGCAAAAAATACAGCGTTGAAGAAAATTGTGAAATCTCAGATTTCCTTACAGATCTAGTTTAAGAAAAAAAAGCAATAAAAAACTGCAAAATTTATTAATTTTTTTGCATATTGGGATATAGCTTATTTCTAGCTTTTTCTAGCTTATTTTTTCAGATTCTAGCTTAAATGGCAGCTCATTCTCTGGCAACACTGTATCAGACGAAAGTGAGAAGCTCAATATGGGCCTTTTAAACGGATGCGACTCCAACGCTGATACTCAACGCTCAAGCTAAAACAAAAAAGACCACGGTGGGTCTTTTTTTAACTTTATACTAGGGACAAACTTTTGTTTGTGCAATAAGGGAAATGGGTATAGGCAATAAGGGAGCTCTCCTTTCATCATTAAAAACCGTAAGAGTAAATGAACTAAATTAAGTTATTTAAATAAGTCAATTAATTTAACACTAGTGCCCAAAACCACGGCGGCAAATAAAAGTTATGTTTGAAGAAACTAGAAAAAAAAAACTTTTTTTTATCCATTTTTATTATAAAAATCAAGAATAAAAATGATTCCCTTCTGTTTAGGTGAGGGCCGTGGTGCCGCTCAGCTGGGGATAAGAGCGCATCCGCGCTGAAGAGCACATCCGCGCGGAAGAGCGCACCCGCGCTAAAGAGCGCACCCGAGCTGAAGAGCGCATCCGCACTCGCCCCTCTGTGCACTCTAACTCGCTCGTTGGTTGCCGTCGATCGTCTCTTTTTGCACTAGTTTTAAGTTATCAATCCTTTGTAAGCAGCCCAATAAAGCTGACCGCGTTATTCTCTGAATTCACCGAAAGACGCCCCCGACTTCTTTATTCAACATTTCTGGGATCCTTTGCGGTAGCAACGCCGCCCTACACATTTTGGTCCTTCGAGCCGGATATTTTGGATATCTTCTCTCAGCAGTCCAGGCATTGTTCCGCCATAAGATAAGTACGAAATTTTTTTTACGAATACCAAAAGATAAGTACGAAAAATCCGCAAGTGAACAGTGAAAGTGTGTGGTGAAAAAAAAGGCATAATTAATATTGGCCAGCCGTTCCGGTAATTTATTTCACCGGTAATTTCCAAGTTCACCGAACAGTCCGCCGCTGTCGTAATATTGTTTGTTTTTCTTCCCCAATTTTTTTACACCACATAACTTTTCCGTTCCCCCAGTTATATTTATCGACGCTCCACTGTGCCAACATACACTGTGCCATCCGTACCTGCATGCATGTATTTATAATTATAACTACTAAAACTTATTTAGTTCTTATTTTCCGTCCGAGCAAAGAGCCAGGTTTTTCAATTCACCTTTCCGGCCACTCTTAATTA